AAATTCATTACGCTTAGACTTCGCCTTCGGTAAATGAGAATGTTGCTCAAAGTATATATTACGTATGGAATATCGTTAGCAACCGACACCTTAAAGGTTCAATATAAACCGGTTTTACCAACTGGGGCATTTCATGTAAAGACTTTCCAGATACCGCACATTGAATCGCGCGTCTGGGACCTGTAATTTTTTGCAGTTGATAGAACTGACTTTGCGCTGTTCTTTCTATAATTTTCAATTACTATGATGTATTGCTAGCGCGTTTTGAATTTTGTTTTCTTCTTTCAAGGCTTGTTTAGTTAATTAATTTAAAGTTTGTTCTTGATTGTTGTGCCATAGAACAAGTTCCACTGACTACTTCAACGTACCCAAGTAGAACTTCTCTTATGTTACAACCCCACACCTCTTCCTATCTTTTATTTTTATTATTGGAAGAAAGTGGTTAAACGAAGCGTATTTTATTCTAAAATAAAAAAGCTAACTTCTATTTAAGTAACCACCATATAAATAAAAATAAAAAAACAATGGCAATTTATGTGGAAAATGAGATATCACTAAAGATTTACTGAGTATGATGAGATATTTCTTGGAACATCTCCGAATATGCCTATACAATATTCGCCTTAGTATTCAATATTCTTTGGACAGTTACCTTTTCACTTTTCGTGATAGTACCAAAAATATTAAAAAAGCTTTTGACCCTATATGGTTACGTGACTAAACGCGAATCTGACTTTGAAAGGTACACGGGATTATTGCTGGTAACTAAAACTGGTACAGGTTAAAACCAAACCAAACCTAACAAAAACGATCTTCACTCTCCCACTCGTACTCCACATCCCTCCACAATTACGTGACAGAAGCCCTTTTAGACCTCTTGCGAAACGTTATGTTTTTGAATAGCAAGCATAAGAAACATATTCATCAGGCATTACACACCATGTGGCAAATTTACGTATTTGGGTGTTGCGTTTTTTTCTTTGCATTAATCTGTGTAGTGATTTTTCGTACAATATGCAACAATATTATCAATAGTTAAAATTATTCTTGCCTATCCGCCAGTAAGGCAACCTTTTTTTGAATCAAAATATAATTCCAGTTTTTAAAGTTACACATTGAGGCTAAATTAAATTGCTTTTTTTGAATATTTTCTATAGAAATCAACATTCTTGCCCAAATTTTAAATTTACTGCAAATTGTTACCAGAAACTTTTATTGTTTACAAATGAATTTTAAATAGTAATAAAGAGTATTAATGCTAAATAGATATCATTGCATTGTAATATAATTAATAATATAAATAATAATTAATAGTATTATATTAAAAATAATTTTAAATTAATCTCTGCGCATTTATTTGAAAATGAATAATAATCTTAAATTTTGTTTTCAGTATCGGGACATGCAAAGGTTTGCCAAAAAAAAATATGCTGAACTCGCAAAGAAGAATTTATTCGTGTCGGTGTTTTTTCGTTAGAAAAATTTCAACCGTCTACAAAAAATACTTGAAGAAGACAAAGCAAGCTATACTGTAAATATCCATGGAATAGTTCCTATAAAACTATTGTTGCTGAAAGAGAAAGAAAAAAGAAATTCCTGACGATGATCCCGTTTACGCTACTGATGGTGGCGTATGATAGCATATCTCGCACTCAATATCTGAGACAATGCGCAAAACTGTCATTACTGAAGCGAGTTGGTTATGTAGATTTGCAAGAGTTTCAACAAATTGGATTTGTGTACATTCATAATATGTTGGCTATTGAACTGGTATGGACTACTTCGCAAATGGAAAACGCGGTGGCCTATGAGGCTACTTCAATGATTCCTTTTTCATTTGGACAAGATTTTCAAAACCAGAATTATGTACAGTTTTTTACTGAAGATTTACCAATCACAAAATAATGGAAAATATTTTTTCAGCCAACCAACAGATTATTATTTCTCCCACCTCCACATCCTTGCTAAAATATGAAGCTTGTGTTAAAAGAAGAGGCTAATTGGGGTGTGTGTCTGGGGCCAATTTTCACAACAGATCATAGGTTCAACTATGTTACGTTTTGGGGCAACATTTAAATCATTTTTATTTCGCTATATTCTGGTTGAGTACTTTAGCCATGAGGATGTGAATACTCCACGAGCCATGACGTAAAATCGCTAAATTTTTTCAAAAGGCTACGTAATTCTAGGCCTTACCAAACACAACTATAATTTATTCTTAGTGACCATGAATAATTTATGGAGATATTCGCAGAACGTATGTGGAAAGTTAGAAGAAAACTGGCCGTTTATTATATCTTTCTTCCAGATTTGTTTAAAAAGAAATATCCCGATGCTCTTTCAATTGCTACAAAGGAATAGAAATCGACTTACTACGCCTTTGACTGTATGTTACTTTGAAAGATGTGTTAGCAGGGGGATAGATTCCACCGCGTTCAATTGAAAATCGTGTCACTTGGATGTCTACAGTGCAGAGTTGGTTTTCCAGAGGATGTTGGTGATAGATCTTGTAATGCTGGGAATTCCTCGTGCTTGGTGTACATGTACAAAAGAGTAACCTCAAATGGTAATGATAGTATCTGTGTGAAAGACAAGAGATCTGAAATTGTACTGTTTTTATCTTTGTTGATAACATTTCATTTAAAAAAAAATTGCATACACATTTTTAAATGTGCGTATTTAATTACTTTTTTATTGTATAATGAATATATACTGACTATATCTACTGTCTCCTCACACATTATACCGCTCAGAAGCTTCTTGGTGATACATAATTCATGCGAATAAAAGTTTTTTATGTGCAGTACATAATAAAAAAACACTAATGATGGTAAAAACTCATACGAATCCAAGGTTAAAGCTCCACAAATTGTATTTGTGTGTAAAACTTGTATATTATCATTGTTATTACTATTATCATTGTTATGATTTTGAAAGAAATCTGTAAATAATGTACAGATAAATGATTATGTGTTGCCATCAAATTAGTTTCTTCTTTCTAATAGAATTACTCCATTACTTTCGATACTTGGAGAAATACCCAATTCATGTAAATCTAACCTCAGAAGACCAATGTTCTTGAAGCATTTGGTTACGAATGAAGGTCTTTCTTGAGCTGATCAGTGTCTTGCTTGAGATTTCACATTCACTGACAGTGGAATTTGTCGCACCTTTCAAACACCCTATAATCATACATTTTGATGCCGAAAGCATGGAAATTAACTTGAATTTAATGCACTTTGTAACAGTTGCCTTTTCTTTTATTTAGGGCTGAAATGTTAGGCGCGGGACGAAAATATACTTGGTTTTCCTCATTCGTTAACCCGGTGCGTGGTGGAGCTGCGATGTCATAACAAAATCGGCACAATGCTGTAGAATGAACATGAGAGTTGAACTTTTTGTTTTCATTTACCTTTTAACCCTTCTGCCACCGACGGGGTAACTGAGTTACCCCAACGTATATTTTTTATATCATATAATTTGTTTACAATTCTAACATCTTGTGTAGTTGGTTTTTACTTGTCTATCTACAATATGTTGTTAGAAAACCGTTGCGTGTTTCATTTCGCGGTTTCAATTTATATCTGGTGTTACTACTTAACCCCGTTGGTATTTGGACGTATTTAGTAAAATAGTTTGAGGTTATGTCATCAGCGGGAGATGAGAGGTGGTGATATGAACACGTTTACGAAGTGTTATTATCGTATTTGTGCTTTAGTATGTGAACCTGTCCAAGGACTACAATCTTGAAGGATTGGAATAGTGAAGTATTTACAATCCAGACCCGTTGAATGTAAAGCATCGTGAAGGGTTTTATGAGTGTGATATAGATTTTGTAGTCGTTGCAGATAAAGTTGATATTATTTTTGAAGACAAGGAAAACACGAATGATGGCGCTTACATCAGCTAAGAAACTTTTAAAGAGTATCATATGGAAGAGATAATACGAATAGTATTTTTTTAATATGCTCTGAAAGTGGTATAATTTTTCATTCGTGACCTCTTCGTCGTGAACGAAGGCTTGCATGTAAAATGTATTGTTAAAATCGCTAAATATTTCATTAATGTGACAAAATTAATGTTTAATCTTCATAACCAAAACAATACTACAATTTTCACTGTAAAAATATTATATATATATATATATATATATATATATATATATATATATATATTATATGGTTTCCCCTGAGGTCGGTAACTTCGCTAACCATCCTTGGTGTTCGATGTATGCAAAATACCTCAGTTGTCGTTTGGGTTAGAGGCTTGATACAGGTTGAAAGGATTGTTAAGGGTTGAAAGGTTGAAAGGGTGGAAAGGTAAGGAGTGTGCCCCCATGATGCAGCGCAGTAATATTGTTTCGTATTGACAGTGTTGTTCATGTCGTGTTCTTAATGAGATCTTAATGATATTTTCTTTAAGATCAATACGCTTCAAAATAGTGATATTCTTTCATTGCATTTTAGAATGTTGATATAATACGTGAAAGTTAGTAGTTTCTAATATTCTTCATGTGTAAATGCCCCATATTTCTTTTGTTGCATTTGGAACGGGGTTGGGGGGTATAAAGCAAACAGGAACCAGTTTTATTGCAGGAATATACGAAACCTCGTAGATACATTGAGAATAGAAAACGTTTCGCAAGATTGACGGCTGTTCAGACTCATAAATATCAATCCTAAAGATATGGATAATACAAAATGAAAATGGAAATCCATCTATATCAGTTGCTAATGTAGCAAAAAGGAAGGAAATTTATAAAAATATTGGATTTATTCTTACCAACAATGGTTACAATGAACATCTGTAGATAGTCCTCTTAGGTCCTTCCTCTTAGGAATGTAGACTGTGGTGGAGGTGGTATAAGCATCACACTGTAGATTGAGTTTTAAAAAAAAATTGAAATACATACCAATTCTCCGTCATTTTTTCCATAACTCTGTGATCACAATGGGTCAAAGCCTATGGAATGTGTTTCAAATTGTAAAGGTAATTTATAGTGAATATTCTTTACCACACAGAAATGCATTAAGATTTATAATTAAATTAATAAATTTGTTACAGATCAACAATTAGCGTAATATGCTACAGGTAAGATTTCTTTAATTAATTTAGGGATGAACGATGTAGGTGAACCTTAGCAGTATGTGTCATAACAGATTGTCATATACATAACAGTTTAAACACATTTAAATGAAATCCGAACTGTGAAGAATTCACATCAAAGTGGACATGTAGTGCTGAAAAAGACAGCACCCAATTTTAATTTGGGCCGCCTGATAGACCTGGCACACGTTACGTTGCAGGAAGGACATCTAGAGTTTCCCAGATGAAGCAACGCTATTGCTAACACAGTTGAGAGGT